CCCCCCCATCGGGGATATTTCCCCTTTACTTTTCCTTCTCCTTTACATCCACAAACAACGATGTAGTGCTAGGGCCAAATAGGTGTGTGTAGGTAGGCCCTCACATTACATAGTTGTTGGTAAGTATTTTTTCTGTGTATTATTTTTGTACACTAAACTTCATCTCTCCGCTTTATTACCACCTCTCCAGGTTCCACGTCAGTGGTGAAGAATCGTGAAGTCATGGCAGATGGACACTCCATATCAGACGGTCACTTGAAATCTTCTGGCCTTAATTTTCGCACAAATTGTCGAATGGTTCTTAATCTACTGAGAGATAGAGATGCCTCGATTGTATTTTCTCCAGAGCAGCCATTAACACCAGTCACTGACCTTGCTGTGGGCTTCAGTAACTTAAGCACTTTCAACGGGTAAATATTACATAAGCATTATGTACAGACATGTTGGTATGGGTGTGGCTGACACAAACTCCAACAGCTGTGGATGCATGTATACCGCAAAGCTTGCAGCTACCATGGTTTACTGTGGAATTTAATAGCAACCCCATTAATCCCTCTGAGACCCTGGTTAACTAACTTGGGAGATACTGACTGACCTGCTTTTAAAACTACATTAACAAAAAAGTGAATGTAGAAATGAGAAAATTCAGGAAACAATCGATCCAGTAAGCCAGACTTGGCAGAAGACCGAGTCCTTAAAGGAGAACTGAAATGATGTGGGTGATTTTCACTCAACCTCATAGTTCGAGCCGACGTGTGACAATGAAACTGTCACAAGTCGGCTCAATAGATAGGGAAGTGAGCGAACACATACCGTCGCTCGCTCACTTCTCGATCCTGTCCCTGCAGAGAGCCGTGACTGTCACTCACAGCTCCCTGCAGGGATTCCACCTCTCCCCGATCCTCCAGCGCTGACTGGTGGAACGGGGGAGGGGGCGGGTACAGCTGGCTCTGCCTCTAGATAGACAGAGCCATCTGTCAATCACGCAGCTGGGTGGATCTCGACAGTAATGTCCCGGCTGCGGCGGTCTCAGTATACCGCGAGCTGTAGCTCGTGGTATACTGAGCTTTGGGTCATGGGAGGACGCTAGTTTATGTCCTCCCGTGACCCTGAGGAGAACTATGGGGAAAAACACTGACCCCATAGTTCTCCTTTTAAAAGGCCCTGAAATCCTGCTACACTATATTTCTGACTACTATAAAAGCCGGGGATATGGATCTCCTATATTAGTCAGTATTTCTAAATCCTGCTGCTTGGGACTTACAAAGGGGTAAGAGATTCTAAGAGGCATTGTCATAGTGACCACAAGCTATCTAAAAGTGAGGTGCTCCTAGAGCCATTGAGGATTCCGCTGTTTCACATCCCTCAGCTGAATGTTGAGTAATGGAAATGGATGTTTGCCAGTATCCAAACCTCCTGTAGGAGCCAGTATATAACCCTGCTGTTTCATAATTTGTGTATTCTTAAATAACATTTTACTATATGTACAAAAATGTTCTTTTTCTGAGTAGGGAAGTAGAGGAAGGCTGCAACCCACATCAGCCTTTTCTTGCCATCTATGTCCCTGTTGCAGACTTTCCCCCCACTTCCTACCTGGTGCAGTAATTGTCACCCTAAGGGCTTGCTCAAATGATTTTCCAGTCCTGATCTGGTGCGGATCTGCAGACGCGGTGCTCTGCACGCAGTGTGTTTTTGACGCGTTTTACCGCGATCCGGACGTTGACGGTGCATTTTATTTTTTTACATTTTTTTTTTTAAAGCCGTGGGGCTGTCGGCATGCAGATTCTTCCTCTGAGGACTCTTCCGCCCTCTCATAACAACCACTTCCCTTTGTGTATGTAAAGCTGCTGATCAGACATGTATCAAATGTTTGCAGGCATGTTGATGGTGCTGGCTACAGCAATCTGCAGAGCACGAGCACACAGGAGACGTCGTTATTGGGTACACCCGATCTTGAGGGTCAGGGACTCCAAGGGTTAGTTTTGGAGTTTATATGAGGATTAGTGTAGCAAGAATTCTATTTTTTTTTTTTTGCTTAGCTGTGTTGTGTTTTCGTTGCATTTTGTATGCGTTTCTGGACCGGACAAAATGTGACATGCAGTATTTTTTCTGTCCGGACCTGAACGCACTGCGCACGTGAGGACTGTAGCCCATAAAACAAATAGGGATACATTGGGATGCATTTTACTGCAGGAGCATACGGATCTTGTCAGGACAGAATCCGGACGTCGTGTGAACAAGCCCTAAAAGTAAGTGAGAGCAAACCTCTGTAACGAAACCTTTGTAGAGCAATGAAAGCCCATTAAAAAATGTGCCTGGAAAAGTGTATCTAATCTGAAAACACAACATGCATATGTTGTAGTGGCTGCATTCGTGTTTTTGTTTGTTTTTTGTTACCTGGTGGTTCTGCCAGTAACAAACATCCTGTCATGGGTTGCTAATTCTCACTTACCTTTCTGTATTGGAACCAAAGAACCTCACCCTTCTATTGTTTATAACATTAGAGGGGCGTGGTTCTCTAGTCATTATAGCTAACTAGGAACAATTTAACATAATAGTCAGCAAAGGCAAAGAGCACAGGAAGTTATCAGATGACATTTCTGGCAAGTTCAACAGGTTTTATTTCCTTCAACTTATTAGACAGATATAACCAAACACTTTTTCCTTTGTTTCTATACAGCAGGACTTCATCCACAAATAACAAGATAAAAATGAATAGTGTACTAAAAGATAAAATAATAAAAGCGGCTTTTGCTGCAACATTAAGCTTCAGTCTGCTGCTAGATGTCATCAGTTTGATGGCCACTGTCATTCAAACCACTTCTTTTGGCTCAATTCATCCGGTACCTACCCCAGCCTGTGACTGGACGGTGAAGAGAAGCAGCACAGTAATGAGTTCATCTCGGTCACTCTGCTTTCTCTTTGTATCAGAAAGCTTTTTGTCAGCACTGAACTTTTACTGCTTCTTCCTCCCACGCTCTATCCCTCCTGTACAGGGGTAGGGACCCAAGGCTAATAGCAGGTTGAATTCAGGTACTTGAACTGCTTGCATTAATAAAAAATAAATATA